GATACTACTTAAAGTTAGCCAAATGGTTCTAGCCGGTAGAACGGAGACGAATGCGGACAAACTGAGGAGAATCTTCATCGGAGATTCACTCAGACCTCTCTGCATTGAACTTGACTTCGAATCCTGAACGGATAAATTGAGTATTTTTTGTGGCCGGTCAACCTGAGCAATGTAGACGTATATTGCTGCTGGCTTCGACAGGGATTATGATATAAATATTGGAGGCGCGATAGATCCTAATGCCGTGACAGCTTCTAACTTTGCGAGACGCGTCCCCCACCTTTTGGAAGCAGATAATTTCCCTCATTAATCATATGCAGCGAGCAGGTTTTCTGAATCAAGTAATTGCAAAATCAGCCCAACTCCTTCAGTGTGGTATTTTTTGGCGAAAAGCATCCAAGATGAATAGCCAACGCACCGACCGGCGTGAGTGACTCAAACTTAAAGCTAATCGAATACAACCAAACTAAAAAAAAAGCAGCTATCGAACCTTCCCATTCACTTGACTGCAACATTGGTGTTCCCTCCAGTGAAATACTTCGTCTGTCGACCTCAGTCCACTGTTCTACACTCTTATAAAGAAACCACTTATCAGTTACCAAGTAGTCGTCACTTTGAATGTGATTAGAGACACACAAGAAATCAAAACGTTTTTCCGTGATTCCTCCCCATCCAAAAAATCGAAAGCACGCGACCGTGTGTTGTGGAGCAAACGGGCTTTCAAACACGTGATGGAAAGAAACAATCTACTGAGGCTTCACCACACTAAAGAACACGGAGGCAAACTTAAGAAATTTTCGGACCTTCGTCTAATTACATTGCTGGCCTCCGCGCCGACAGCACGTGTCCATAAAAGCCACCAGAGACACGGCGGGGCGCGGAGCGATTTGGACCGACTGGTTGCCGGTTTTCCCGCTTGGCGGCGTCCGTTTTGCTGGAGTCGCGAATAGGGCAGTTGAGAAAACATACTCTTTTTGAGAACAGGCTATGGCAGATGTCGAGGATTGCACAAAGCACAATCTGTGATTAAGGAGAGACATAAACTTAAATTTCAAATTTAACAAAAAAAAATTCAGTTTTCAAATTTGAGGTTTTTGGTTTAGAAACTAATGATATACCCATAGATTAAAGGGCAACTCCGCTTCATTTTTGGTTTTGAAAGAACAATGCAGTCCTCTTCAGTATCGCCTAGGGAGACCACACGTCAAATATTACGACGCAGTTCTGTCTAAATGTTTCTTAAACGGTCCGGCAAACTTTGCAACTCGCCAAGTTGCCGAAATCGGCTGACTCGAGTGGGCGAATTCAGGCACAACCAATAGCGCAGTCAAGGCTACGGCATGGGCGGAGCCAACATTGAGCTAAACGTCATCATCATGGCCCCCTTTTGCTTGTTTTTACTTCTACGATCGAGCGTAGCGCATGACGTCAGCAACGTTGCCTCTCGGCGCTCAGCGGTGTCCATGTGATTGGCGCACGCGCCTGCGCAGCGCGCTTCTTGGGAGCAGACCAACCGCCCGCCGTGGTCCCGCCGTTACCGCCGTCTTCCGTGTCGCAACCACCGTCGTCGTCTCACCGTTTGTGATTATTGCCTCTCGGAGTTTCGTCCACACTATGGACACCACGTGCGCAGAGTCGCAGACTTATGCCGCAGTTGTGCAGACGTCGTCGAATGCCATAGACACCAAAATGTGGCGAAGAGTGCGGTGCAGACGACACTCGCGCCTGCCGCACGCGGCACGCCCGCCCCCATCCCGCCCGTTGTTGGGCCAAGGATCACGTGACATCTCGTACCACGTGATGGCCATGTACTTGGCGGCCCGAAACCAATGTTGCCGGACGGAGCCGAAGTTTCGGTTTCGATTTCCGCTCGTGTTTAAAATTAGATTTAAAGATATATATCACATTTTTCGCGAAGCAAACGACGTAGTGTCTTTTACTAAGGCTTTTTAATTCGAAATCACTCATTATCCCGAAATCTTCGGAATTAAGCGGAGTTGCCCTTTAAATGTGATAACCATACACCAAATAGTTAGATTAATATAAAATATTTTCAACACATTGTGAGGCAGTAACAAAGTAAAGCAATTCAATGTTTGAACACATTTTTCTCAGTTGCACTTTTTGCTACAAATTTCATACGAAGGAATCTTTTGTTTAAAGGTAAAAATATTCTGATACCACAGTGAAGATGTTTCTGAACTGAAATTTACTGAGAATAGGGCTATCCACTTTATTTTGTTTTAAGTTAAAATCCTCATTGAGAAAAAACCCTGTTTTAAAAAATTGACATACCATAGAATACCATGCATCTGCCCATTCCACACTAAGCGCACAGCCCCAAAATTTTAAACATCTGAAAAAATATGCACAGTACGTATATATATCTAAAATTGATGACCTCACATGCCCCATCCCCTATTGTTTCACTATTATCTTCAAATTTTGAGTGGGCACTTGCTCAGTATTTTACGGTAGGAACGATATGCATCTCATATTTTTAGGTAATAACTTATCTTGAAATATTTACATTTGAGTTATAGCTGGCGTCTCAAATAGCGGCCAGGCTCTTTAAATCGACCGCAAAATTCGGTTTCTTAACCTATCGCGCTACAATTTTGTGCAGCGTTGCCCACAGGTGGTGCATTCTTTCTATAAAATTTGCAAAGAGAGAACTTGCCTGAGGAAAAAGTAAAAAAAGAAAAAGGCTTAACTGCTATGGAAATGCAGCGATGCCACCGGTCTTCAAACAATAGGGCGCCCTGTTGATTGAAGGCCGGATGCTTCGCTGGGTTTCCATAGGAGTTAAGCCTTTTTGTTTCTTTACTTTTTCCTCAGGTAAGTTTGCTTTTTGCAAATTTTACAAAAAAAAATGCACCACCTGGGGGCAACGCTGCACAAAATTGTAGTGCGAAAGGTTAAGAAACTGAATTTTGCAGTCAATTTAAAGAGCCTTGCCGCTATATGAGACACCCAATAAAATCTAGATAGCCTCCCACATCCCCCACTTCATATTCAAGCAGTTAGAATGGTGCTTAATAGCTTCATTTGCATGTCATAGATTTTTTTAACGAAGAGTGACACATCTTATGCAGGTATATTAAATTGTCCTAGAGAGCTGAAAGTTTGCACAATATACATACATCTGATGTTAAATCTCCCCTGCAAATTTCATTCCAATCACTTAAGTAGTTCAGAAGTTAAATCTATGCGGAGCGCTAGTTTCTCTGCTTGTTTTTCAGGGGTTGTGGTGACGTCAGAATGCCGAGCTCTGCTTGGCTCTGATTGAAGGATAGTGGATAGACCCCAAAGCAAGCTGCCTTGAGGTCTACCCACTATCCTTCAGTCAGAGCCAAGCAGAGCTCGGCATTCTGACGTCCCTACAACCCCTGCAAAAAGAAGCAGACAAGCTTGCGCTCCGCATAGCCAGTGTCCCCCCCTTAGCTAAAATATACTACATTTTACCCTTGTGAAACTTGGGGGTGCGCTAAAGCTTTCACTTGTGCAGCAGGCACCAGGCTGGCAATGCAAAAACGCAAATGGTATTCTTATCATCTGCATGTTTGCATCGCCAGGCTTGCGAGTGGTAACTCAGCGCACCCCAAAGCTTCACACGTGCTTTAAAGGGACATTGCATTGATATTCAGTTGGAATATTTTTCAAATTACACAAGCTCATTGGTACTAGTGGGACCTAAGTATGCTTACAAGCAATGCCATTGACCAAGAAACCTCTTTGTTGCGGCGTTATTTCAATAATAAAGGCGAGCGTTTTCTTCCAATCTCTCCTTTGCAAAATTTGATGACATAGTTTGGAAGTTGCCGTGTTGGCATAGTCCCCCAGTAATGATATTGCCGCGCGTGCAGCTGACCAAGTAGGCAGTGCGCACGTGGCCTAACGGTTATCGCACTTTTCTTCCACGCAAAAAACCAAGGTTCAATGCCTGACCGCGGGTGCGCATTTTTGTTGACTCTGTATTGTGATGTTCTGGTAAATCTGAGAATTGTGTTGCTGATTCGAGGTTAGATTGTTCAACATGCCGAACCTTCTACGCCAATTGTTCCAGAAGCCCATGCGTGTACTAAAGGGGCTCCACGTGGCAACCCGCAGTCAGTCTTACTCTAGCGCCAGATTCTGCCTCTTCGCCGACATCGCTTACGGCACCTGTTCTTTTACCCCTTTGTTTTGGTACAACTTCACGTTTATTAAACCTTTAATTTCTTCACGGAACGCTGTCTCGTCACTTCACCCATGACAATATTTGAATGCGGCTCATAGATTGGGCCCGAGCATTGTGTGAGCATTCAGTGCTTGCTCCTGTCCAATTGCTGCAATGATGACAACGTAGAGGGCGTGCTAACTGAATACTAGCGTCCTCTGGTTGGGCTTGTAGGTGCGAGAAAGTAAAAGGGCCTTTTGTGTCACCTCCCACCCGGCATGGTGTGTCTGCTGCCCCTGCTGTAGAGTGGTATTTTGTGTTCGTATGTGAGCATTTTTTTTGCCAGGAAGGAGCACTAACAGCTGCCGCCGTAAAATAAAATACGCATCTCCAAATACTCACTTTCTGCCCAAATGTAAGACTAGTGGTCCGGACCAGATTCCAGTTTCAGAACCAACTGACATCTTATTCGAAGGTTATAAGCGATTTTTGGATATTTCCTATGGTAAAATGGTGGCCGACAAAGCCTAGAACACATGGGGCTAAGTGGCACAAAACACTGTAAATGAGCCCGATTTTTCTATCTTAACTTTTGTGTAATAAGATAACGGTTAGCTGCTCTAATACGTTGGCATCTGGTCCGGACCACTGGCACTACATTTGGGCGGAGTCTGGGCATTCGATCATGCATAGTTTATTTTTCCGGTCAAAAACACGCCGTAAATTTTTTGCCAGGGACGTGCTGTAAGAGAGTAAGAATAGACGATACATTGGAAAAAATTGCTGCATACCACACGGCGTTCACTCATGTTTGTCCGCTCTAAATGTCGTTCCTCATCAGTGACGAGGAAATTCCGAGCGACACGGACGGCGAAGGATCGGACGGTGGACCAGGGGGGGAAAACGAAGATGAGGACGACGCGGAGGAGGAAGAGGAAGAGCAGGCACCGGAGAAGCCCGCCAAGAAGCGTAGAATGGACGACTGCATCGCGGATATCGAGACGTTCTACAAGACCTTCGAGCCCTTCAGGTACGCATGCGTAGCTGCCTCTTGCATGTTAGGTGCCCCAAGTTCAAAATCTCATCATACTGGTCAAAGTGCCCCTCGACGACGAAAAGATTGAAGTGCCTTGCGTCTTGGCGGGGACTGACGTTGTGCCGTGTCAACATTTATACAATCAGCTTGGCCTTTGGCAATGGTCTAGGGGACTGAACATAGGAGGCTTCTATTTCAAATTGTGCATTCGTGCAAAGAGTCAATTGTAACAGTTTGTTGCTTTATGTCTGAAATTGTTTTCTCTTTTATGCTGTTGTCAGTGTGGTGGTAAGCATTGGGCGTATTTAAACGCTCGTTAATTATCCTCTTCCGGGGGATTCAATGTCAGCTTGTGCAACAATAATTTGGACATATGTTTTACTTTTCTGAAGAAAATATGTATTCGGCCATTTCTCGGGGATGAGCATTCAACCATATACGAATGGTTTAGCTAATGGTTTTGTAGAGATTATAAAGTTGAGAGTCTCAAGACAGAAAAATTGACAAGTTTTCAGTGGTACTTTGCACCACCGTCACTTCCACACTAAAGTTACCAAGTCAAGATAACTTGATTTTCGTCCACAGTGTGTGCAACATGTGCAAGAATATTAAAAGCCAAAATATAAGTAGAGACATTGTCTGTCCTTTTTATCTTTTCTTCGCACTGTAAAAAAGTCCTTCCTCCTTCTACCCCAGTCTCGGGTTAAAATCATTGTGGTAAACTTCCACCAGCTCGCCTGCGCACTGACTATAATTTCGTAAAGTATAATATTTCTCAATAAAAACAAGCTACGAAACACGTTGAGAAAACCTGCTGGAAACCATTTTCAGATATTATTCGCCGACGAATGCTTTCTTGAAAGAGTGCTTAGTCAAATACACCAAAATTCATAACGCTGTATGAATTGACAAATTTGCAAAAAGATAGTTTCTTAACCTTTATTTTGATTTATACTTTGTTTCACACTTAGCGTGCAACGCTGTCAAAGCTACTTTCGCGACCGTGGGGCTCAGTCTCGTTGATCATTTGCACGCGTTCTTGCGCAAACAATACAATAGATGAAGCCATGCGCTCGCGCCAGCAGCTTTGACAGCATTGCACGCTAAGTATGAAACAAAGTATAGTGTCCATGAAGGCTTTCAGGGGTCTGTGAAGCCCAGCCTCATCGGTAAGCCCGGCAATTAAAGTTGTCTTCCCTCAGATTGAAAAGAAGCGTTTCAATTTTTGGGTGAGTTTTTACGTGGATATGTCATTAAGAGAAGTCTGCTTCACACTAGTCCTTAGTTATATCAATTTGTTAAATCATTATCACAATTAACGTATAACTTTCTCTCTCCCCCCCCCCCCACCACAAATGGGGTCCTCCATCATCTCTGCGATCCACATGGGGTCCGCAAAACATCATTGGTTCAGAACCACTGCTATATAGTGTCATAATGCAGACATCAGTATTTGGTTCTTTTGAGATATTTATTGGCTCATCTTTTTAAATGTCATTTGAGATACATTCATAGTTTGATTTCTACCTGTCAATAACTTTTTTGAAAGGAAATCTGCAAATGATTACTTTTAGTTGTAGAGGCCCCCTTAATCAAAGGGCTCGTGCCTAGCCACGACCCATGCGTAAGCTTTTGGTTTATGAGGGTGCTTTTGTGCACACTTTATTTTAAAAATGAAAACTGAATGGAATTGAGAATGAAACCTGGGAATTCGTCTTGCAGGAACTCCACGATTGAGAAGTGGTACGAGCGAACGAGGCTGTCGTCCGGCAGGATCAACAAGGGCTTCCAAGCGTTGGAGCAGTCACCCCTCAAGCAGATCGAGCACGTGAGTTTGCATCTTCCTGCGGCGTGCCCTCCAGGGAGGCCATTCTAGACGAAACTAGAATGGTTTCTTGTTTCATCTACCCTTTTGTTGGCCCCGAGCATTATTGGCGGTTAGTACGTTTTCTCAGATCATATGTATGTTTTTACTCAGTTTGTGGTCACCTGCGGCACGATAACTCGAGAGTCGGGTTTATGCAAGTACAAGAATGGCCGTCGAATAATTTGGCTCAACTTTTCTTCTGCAGCAACAAAATAAAGTTGTCGCTGAATGGTGTGATTGTGGATTGCCGCGTATACTGCACAACACCATTTGCCTGAACACAGCGTCGGCGCTTCTTTGCACTTTATTTTGAACGGTTATTGCCGAGCAGCAATATTCACCGCTTGGTTTAGAGCCTGGAATGAATGCTTCCCATCATACTATATTGTCACGAATGACAAGTGATGAGGCGGTAATAACTGAAGAAACTAAACCTTTAATGGGGTGAACTTGTACCCCAAAATAATAAGGGAACCGAAGAAAGCAGAGCGTCGCGGCATCAAAGTCGATGTGACAGCAGAGTCGAACGCTAGGGCGAAACTGACTCCGCTCGCCTTGCGGAGTCCCTTATGTACCCTCGTGGGTTTCTGGATCATTCGGTGTAGAACTTTCGGTGCATAGAACATTTGGAACTTGATCAGACAAGAATGCTCTTGAACTTACGAGAAGGCCAAGTTGAAAGAATAAATAAAAGGACAGTTTGCTGACTAAAATCGAACCTACACCTTCGGCGTGACAGTCAAGCGCAGTAACCACTCGGCCACGCATGCGCTTGCTCGCCGACGTGCGTGGTAATATTCTAATTCAAATTCTTTATTTTTCTCCAAAATGAAGAGAGGAAAGAGAGACAAAAGCAACTCATGGCGACTTCCACTGGTCGTTTTGGAGCGCTTTGGAGCGCGCCGGGATCAGGAGACCAGATCCGAGATGGAGCATGCGATCCAAACGGGATAGCTCCGCTTCCGGACCCCAGTGGAACGTGACCACCCCTCTGGAGTCGGCGGATGCATTCCCGTCATTCCCTTTCCCACGGTCCCAAATCTCGAAGTACATGTTTTTGCAATCGTTGCGCTAACAGCATGTGTTCAATGCACAAGCGAAGTTAATCAGGATGTAAAAGACGCACTTTAATAAGTGATGCATCAGCATAGCCCATTTGCGTTTTCGTCGGGATGCTCGTGAACAGTGTCCAAGTATGTCTCAATTTTCAGCCTCTTCTGCGGAGTTCCGAAAAGGCATTAGAATTGATGCGGGACATGTAAGCAATCCTGGTTGCTGCTGCTACTCGAGCCACTGCTGCCGGAGGTGCTCGAGCAAACTTGATGACGAACTGTCATCAAGCAGCAGCAACAGTAAAGTGGGCGGCACTTCGCACGCGGCAATTATGAATTCCTCGGAGGCGAGATGCCCGGCGAGAAAGGAAGTCATGTGTGCGTGCAGAGGGCTGGCCAGGCTGGCTTCCGGTCGATCCCGCCGAAATCGGTGGAGCGACTTTTTTTGCATCCAGATCAAGATCTGGAGTGGGAGCTGATCCAAAATGACATGGAACTTCCGTTTTGATTATGATCGCCCAGGGAAATACGCGCGCTCCAGAAAAGTCTATCCCGGCGCGCTTCAAAGCGACCAGTGGAACTCACCATTAGGAGTTCGTTGACAAAGCGTCTGCTTCCCCCAACAACAACAGCAGCAGCGGATGACAAAAATAAGGAGACACGGTTTTACACAATTACAGACATAAACTATAAGAAAACAAACCAACATGCAATAATAAGAAAAATATATATTCTGTGTGCGTAGGAGTATTTTCATCACTGACTGATCTCTAGATAAATAGTGTGCAAATAATTATAGACATAAAATATAAGAAAACAAATTAACATGAATGATAGTAACATATATTCAGTTTGGGTACAATTATTTTGAACACTGACAGGCCCCTAATTAAATAGTGTGCATATAGTTTTCTAGTTGCACAAATGATATTTACAGTCAAACTTCGATGTAACGAAGTCGGTAAAGTTCGGGATTTACTTCGTTACATTGAAATTTCGCTACATAGAAATTCGAGGCTAACATTAAAGAAAGTTTCCACAAATGTTTCTCGGGTGCACAAAACTCACCGAGGACGCCTCTATTTCTGTTGAAAGTAGTCTGTCACCTTTTTCTGGACCACTCTTGGCATTATTAGTGGCATTACACGACTTTCGCATAGCCAGACGGCCTACGTCACGTCTTCGTCTTGCTGTGTGATCACGAACCGCCTCAAGACATCGATCGTGTCAACCACCTCACGGTTACTGGGCACATAGCAGGTGTCTTGCTCATCAGGCTCGACGTCGTCGCCGTCTTGCGAGTTCCCAGGAACATCGCTAGCTATCGCCTCGTCGGTCACCTCCGTTGCAATGACAACAGAGTCGGCATATAGAAAGTCGTCAAGGTCGACGTTGTCAGGGGCGGCTCCATCGCCTTCAAGGCTCCATAACCCGGTACAATGAGAAACGCATGCTTTTATTTAGGCCTCGAAACGAACTACGCAGCGCGAACGAAGCCGAGGGGCGAAATAGTGGCGGCTCTAGTGTCTTCTAGTAGCCGTTCTGTGCGCCACACTTGCCAAATTCGGCTTGTTTCACCCTTTGCGCTTTATCGGGGGCCCATTGAAACCCAAAAGTTTGTGACGAATTGTCCATGAAATTTCGTTACATTGAAATTTCGGCAAACGGGACTTCATTACATAAAGGTCAAAAATTCATGGCGTGCATGCACTTGCAGTTAGAAAAAGTTATGTACTACGTTACATAGAAGTTTGTTACATCGAGGTTTGACTGTATGTTCAGTTTGTCTAAAATTTAAAGGGGGGGGGGGGAGGGGGGGTATATCTCGGCTTTTGAATTACGAAGTTTGTTCTGGAGTGCGGCATTTTGGATGACAGCATTTTGATTCTAAGAGAAAGACTGCCCATCTCTTTGGTATGTCCCAAATGCGCTCGCTCTCAATGTATGGTACATCTATATCCTCTGTGACATCATGATGTCACGTGAAGTCGTGGTGTTACTCGACCTTACGTCAGATCGTGTCACATAACATCATTCTGTCGTGTCATGTCACAGAGGACCTCTAAATGCTAGGCACCTAGAGTGCGTAAGGCATGACGTCACATGGCATTGTGACGCCGTCGAGGCTACGTCCCGGCACAAACATGAAAAGAGCCATCCCTGGAAATACTACGCATTTAAAACATACAAAGACCGTGATTCTTGTTTGCACTAAAACTGTCGTACTGTGTATCCAACACCTTTCGAAACCTCCCTCGTTGATCGTCCGGGCATTCTCTTCGGACAGATTCTGACAGACGAGGAGCGCCTCCTTCGCCGAACCCAGACCAAGCGGTCGTCCTACAGAGTCCTCGGCGATCCAGAATCTTCTCAACAGAACGAGGTAAAGCGGGTTACAGCTGGTGGGTGCATTTAGGGTCAAATATTTGTAGATAGTGTCTTCCGTAAGGCACGACAAGTTTGTGTCTTCAAGAGAGGTTGACCTGAGAGATCGTTCGAATGCAAATTAATTGTGCACCGTGTTTGTTCAGACAGCGTGAAGTTAGTCAGCTCAAATCGGTGTCTGATGTCTCCGCCGTAGATGAGAAATATAGTCAGTGCGGCACCGCTGCTAGCCTGGGGATAAGTTGGAGCCTGGGCGAGTTGGTATGACATACTTAAAAGGTTAAAGCAGCACAAAAAACGACGGGCAGGGTAAAGAAGGACACAGACAGAGCACTGGACGGACAGGGTAAAGAAGGAGACAGACAGTGCTTTGTCTGTGTCCTTCTTTACCCTGCCCTTTGCTTTTGCACTGTTTTAACCTCTTAAGTAGCCTGGAGACTTTAACATGCATCACGCAGTAGTGATACACGACCGCACGCCGGTACAGTGTTTATTCAGATCTGTTATATTCGAGTACACAGGAACGGTACTGCCGAATATGTAACATCTATTCCAGTCTGGCCATCGGCGACCAGCTGGCTCTCGTAACGCTCGAAAGCACTTGGATCCTGTGGCCCGTGTGATTACGTATTTTTGCCCTGCGTGATCCAAACCGAAACCAGGAATGACACTTCTCCCCTCTTTTAACCCCCTTAAAAGAGGGGAGAAGTGTCATTCCTGGTTTCGGTTTGGATCACGCAGGGCAAAATACTACACAGAAAGAAAAAAAAAATTCTGCAAGAAAGTTAAATTTGAAAGATGCTCTATTTACATTCGCCAAGATCTAGAGAGTATTCCCAGAAAGTTTCATTTGTATACAGTGCATAGTTATATTTTTATAAATTATTTTCAGTCCACCAATGTTAAAGAAAAGATAGAGGTTCGAGCACTTTGAATGCATTTTCGTTTCAGTATGAAACTATCGAGAGACTTAATATTTTTGGCTTATATGCCAAAATTTTATGGAGCTGGTTACTATGAACTTAGATTTTGTATTTTCATGTTCCTTTATTATGAAAAATTGTACTTTGCAAAACTTGGCAAATGTGAAAAAATTTTTTTTTTTTTTCATACATTTGTTTTACTTGAAAATGCATATTTTCTGAAATTTCTTTTCATAGTAACCAGCAACAGGTATTCCAGTATGCATTCCACCAGAAAAATATGGGGTTATCAACACCATTTCTCAACGATAGATTCATTGAGCAGATTCCATGCAAAGCTATGCTTTGCTTTGTACTGGGGGTATAAAATTGGCTCACAGGGCTGCAGCTTTGCATGCCCTCCTTTATATGGCTGAAAACACCAGCTGAAGATATCACGCCGATTAAGTGAGCGGTTTAAAAGTTGGCATTCCCAGGTAGTGTCCCCCCTTAAAGAAAGTCACCATATCGTGTGAAAGTCACCATGTCTCAGTCGCTGAGCTCTGGACGATATTGGAACGCTGTGTGTTTCGGAATGTGTAATGGTCGCTCTGGTCCAACGCATTTTGCTCCACATACTTTGTCGACGGCTCACCGCCGATGGAAATTGCCTACTGCTGTCGAAGACCTTGAGCCGGTTTTAAGCTGCTGACATCCGAACAAGTCTCGGCATTGAATGACCGGGACGTTTCTGAGTTTGGTTGCGGATGTGGTCCTCGTGCCGTCAAGGTGTACGTATTTACTAGATTCTAGCTCGAACACAATTGTATTGCGAAAAACAGCTTTTCATTATGCCCTATAAAAGAAAAAAAAAAAAAAGAGAAGATTATAACGTGGGATTGACAAAGGAATAAAAGAGTACCTTTATCTTAAAGAGGTGGTGGCCAACACTGCCCACCTTAGGGGGAATGATTTCTCCGTTACTCGTCATCACGGCCGTCGTCGCTGTCAGAGGTGGAGTTCTTCTCGCTGTCCTCTTTGCAGGTGATGTCTTTCTTCGCACCGTTGAGGACATACAGTATCAAACACATGTCGTGCTGCCATTGGCTTGATGCCAAAATGTCACATGCTGCGGAAGCACGAAAGTTTGAATGTTGCGGAAGTGCAAAAGGCAAAGCACGAGGTCGAACAAATCCACCAGACCAACCAGAAGAAAGAATGACAGGTTTTACAATGTTTCGATGGATTTCAATGTGCATTTAATGGATTTGATTTTAAGCAGCCATATGGGTATCTGTTGTCAGCCTAAGGTTGAAAACGACTGGAACTATGAAAATCGGAGTTATTTAAAAATGGCGGCACCGTTGAGGCCAATATCGCGGTTGCTCAATTATAATGCTAGGGGCAACATTGGGTAATAAAAATTAGAAAAAAACCTTGCATTAAATTTGAGTAAATGCAGTACCTTTGTCCATAGCAACCAGCCATGAGCAATATCCAAGTGTCTTTGTGACAGTTCCTGTGAATTTTCTCACAAAGACGTCTTGGCCAAGAGCAAGTTTCCTGGGAGAGCACGACTTATCGCTTTCTTCCATTTCCCTTCCTTGATCAATGTGAGGGCAACCCAGACGAGCGACCGCAGTTAACTGTCGACCAAACACCTTGTACGCTTGGCATCTGCACTGTCGCTACTCTTGTAATTTTGTGTTGCTCGAGTATACACCGAGGAAGCATCCATTCATGCTCCCGTTTTATCTTTATTTTATGCACCTGTTTTATCTTTGAGCGGTGCTATGTTGGTTTCTCATACCATTCTTTTGGCCTGCCCATTTGTTGCTGGATGGTATGGTGCACTGGTGATATTTTTCATTTCATTCTTCTTGAAGAATGCTTCTGTGTTCTGCGATACAAACAAAGTACCGTTATCCGTGGCTATCTTTTTCGGCAAACCGAACTTCGCAAATAAATTCCGAAACTCCTCGATGACGGAGCTCGATTGAACGTTTCTCATTTTGCGTACCTCCAGCCACTTGCTGTAACCTGTAAGCGACTTCTCTAGCAGTGGCTCGTCTTAGCCCCTAATAAACGCCGATACGCATAAAAATCAAGTATATTCTGCGCTTCTTTATGTGCCCGACTATTCCGTTTGGCACATTCGACCACAACACAAAAAAGTGGAGGAATCCAAATCATGCTTCCTCCAGACATAGGAAAGCATGGGGAAAATGTCCATCAGCACGGATTCCGGCAAGGTTACGAGGCGGAAGTACTGTCGAGACCAGTTATAACGAAGTCTGTTATAACGAAATAGTGGGTACAGCGAAGTGACCACGACTTCTCATTCCCTTTTGCACTTCGTTAAAACCGAAGTCGGTTATAACGAAATAGCGGATATAACGAAGGGATTTCCGATTCCCGTTGACTTCGTTAAAACTGTTCTCGACAGTATGTCATGTAGGACTGCACTGTGAGTGTGGCACCGGTGCAGTGCCCAGAATGCACCTTCGACTGCTGTGTTTAGCCTTCTATTTCACCCAGGCATCGAAAGTGGTCTCGAAGCGTCAACAAGTGACTTCACAAAAGACAGAGTGTCGTGCTGTCGGACGTCGCGATCCTGGCAGTTGAGCATAAAAATTCTGAAAAAAAAAAAAAAAAGCAGGAGAGAATGCGAATGTCACCGTCATCATGGCGTCCCAACTCTGGGCTGCCGAAGCTCTTGTAGATGTCAAGCTGGAGATGGCAGAACAGGTGTCTGCCATGTCCACCTCCGCTGCTGCGACACCAATACAGTCAAACCCGTTTATAATGAACAGCAGGAAGCGCTACGATCAATTCGATATAGCAAGTAATTCGATATAGCAAAAACTATATATAACGAACTTCCACGATGCGTTCGTTGTAAGGCGAGAGCTTCTCTTTCTCTCTTATCTCTTCGCTTCCGCCTTGTAACACCACGCTAAAAAGATTTTTCTTTTTTGCATGCTTGCATAGTTTGTGTCTTTAGCTTCTAAAGTTGAAGCTTGGGTGAGTTGATACGACATAGTTAAAAGGTTAAAACGGCGCAAAAAACAACACACTGGATGAAGGAGGACACAGACAGAGCGCTCTGTCTGTGTCCTCCTTCGTCCAGTTCGTCGTTTTTTGCGCTGTTTTGACCTTTTAAGTATGTCTTTAGCTTATCTCCCCTTCTGATTCACTTCTCTTTGCTCAATTTTGTTCGCAACTTGAGCTTTTGAAATTTTCTTTCTTTCTTATTTTTTGGGGGGGGGGGGGGGGGGAGAGGAGAGGAGAGGAGAGGAGAGGAGAGGAGAGAAGGGACAGGCTAGAAGACGAATGTTTGCACGTTTTGGAAACCTTGCCGGGGGGAAAAAGTTTGATATAGCCAATATGTAGGAACAGACAATTCCTACATATGTCTGTTCCAATAAAAACAGACACGGAAGGGAATGTCTCAAACTCGGCTAAGTGTTTTCTTTTTTTTTCAAGCATCCTATATATATAGCCACACAGCCACTCTCAAGCACCTTCTACGCAGAGATTTCGTTTGTTGAAAGTATTTTCAAATACGAAGACCATACACATAAACAAGGGACTAGACGGTCCAACCCACCATTCCATCATTGTCAACCACCTTCTATGCAAACATTTCTTTTGTTGAAAGCATTTTAGAAAACAGATAACATGTACACTTAGAAGGGACCAATTTGGTCAAACCCGCAATACAATGTCCTTGCCATCAAGGACGACGGGAGAGGGTTCTGCGACCCACATCTGGCTCGTCTCAGGAACACTGGCGACTGCTGCGCTTTGTACCCAAACTCGGGCGAAGCTTCCCAAATATTAACACTGCATCAAACATCTTTCTCTCCCGTCATCCTCGATAATAAGGGCACTGTATTGTGGGTTTGACCTCATGCTCTCTTGTAAGTGGATATGTTATCTGTTTTCGAAAATGCTTTCAACAAAAGAGATCTTTACATGGAAGATGGTTGACAGTGATGGTGTTGTGGGCTGGACCATTTGTTCGCTTGTGAATGCATACTTTTGTATTTAAAAGTGTTTTCAACAAAGAATATCTCTGCATAGATGGTGGTTGAGAGGGCTGTGTGGGTAAATATAGGATGCTTGAGAAAATAAATTAGTTAGCTGATTTTGAGACATTCCCTTCTCTGTCTGTTCCTTCGACTAAAAATCTTTTTCCTTTTCTGCACCACGGTCTCGGGTGTTAAACGGCATGATTAGCTACCACCAGCTCGTTTGTGCACTTAGTCTTTTCACTTATACATTATACCAATGTATTCTTAGGAGTTATTGGAGGCTTATCTGGAATCCTACTAAGGTTGTACCTCTTACTGCCCAATGTCAGGTCTCCATCGAGGTTTGTGAAATGTCTTAGCTGCAGCAAAATTAAAAATGTGCCGGTGTTATGTATCAGCAATAGGCTGAAACGTGGATGTGGCTGTCACATTGCTGCAGGCTACCACCATTGGCAGCAGAGAGATTGACGAAGAGATCTTCGACGATGACGACTTCTATCACCACCTGTTGCGCGAGATCATCGAGAGAAAGTCGTCCAACGTCGAAAATCCTGTTGCTCTCAGCAGGTGAGTTTCCATGCTTCTGCACCTTACATTAATGTGCACCATCAAGTTTTATGCTCACGTTGCACGATGGAGTGTTGCTGCACGAGAGTGATTAAAAAGTTATCTTCACACCGTCGATAGGTTATCTTCACACCGTCGGTTAATCAATTTATTTTAGTGAAATTGTTTTCTTTTGATCAAATTAATCGAAACCCAAGCCTGTCATTGATTTTTGCATAGACAGAACATTGGCTGATTAGCAAATGATTTGTTACATTCTCCACCGCCACTCGTCTACTTATCTGGCAGAAACAGCTAATGTTTACACTCGATGCCGTCATCAGTCGGGGATGTGGACAGGCGTCAGGCTCCGTCTTTATGGCTCACACTTGTGTATCCTTCCTTGAACTTCTGTATTCAATCAAACACACTTCTTTGTGGTAAAACACTTTTTCCATACTGTGCTTCAAGTATTCAATAAATATTGGCACCAGACACAGGCTTAGACCACAAAAAATGAACTAGTGCACGTTGCTCTTTTTTCGTGCAAATCACAAGTGAGGCAGCCATTGCTCAACCGAACTGGCGTTACATGTTCAAACTTGTGCAGTGGTGACTAGACAAACAGTGACTTCATGCAAAAAGAACTGATAAGATAGTGTGGTCAACACATGTTTTAGATAACTGGAGTGTAGACACTTTTTTAATATTTTTCATATTTCCGCTTTAGTGTACAGTATGCTCTGACACAGAATTTTTTAGAGGTCTGGCTTCTGTGAGGTGAGTGGGACACCATGAAAGAGTGTCACGAAAAACTAACACACACCTGCTAGATTTAGCGGACTCATTAACCTAAAGAAGCTTATAGGAAGCGAGCAAGCCGGCCATGTCGCGGCGGTCGCCTATTGTTCGCCGCAACCTAGCAGTAGCGACGACAATGGCGACGAACAGCACGGCGGGCAGTGTCCCTGTCGTGATTACAAAGGAATTTAAGGCAGTCACAAATTCGGAAAGTTCCTTCGGTAGCCAGTGCCGTCGGCGCAGAATCATCGGGAAGTAATAGCAACGATCACCACAGAGGACAGTGGGCGATTACGAATCCGGAAAGCTTCTTCGGTAGCCGGTGCAGAATCATCGGGGGGAAGCAATGGCGATGAGCAGCACAGTGGACAGTGTTCCCGGCGTGATTACGACGGGGTTTAAGGCGGTTACGAATCCAGAAAGCTTCTTCCGTGGTCCCAATATGAAGAAGGGAAAACTCCTTCGTGAATCTGGCCGCGTGTACGACGTGAAGGAGATCCGTTTCGACGGACAAGTGGATGTCACGGAGCGCCGTACTCTGCTAACAAAATTAAGTGCGCCCGCAAAAAATGTAGTGGGCGTTGAGTGGACTGTGGTATTTATGTATGTTTATTTCTGAATCAGCTTGACAATAACTGGGCGATTTTTTTCGCGCCGTTCCGCGATTCCCACTGTAGGCTGATGGAAACATCCAAGGGTAGACTTAGGTCGGCGACCGCATTCCGCTTCTCGATTCCGGTGAGGTATTTGCTGCATATTTTAGAGTTTGCCGTCGATGTCGATACTGTTCCATCGTCGCTAGAATAGAAAAAAAAGTTAATTATATTATTCGTCAGCAGCTTAAACAAAGCGCGAACTGGAAGGTAAGAAACGCCACTAACCTGTATGGACGCACAAGTCGCACCCAGATCGCGCAGTACTCCGCCTCGTACGGCTTTGAAGGGACGATGTACAGGGTGTCACAAAAGAAAATTTACACAGTCTTTTTTACCGCAAAAATAAACTAGGCATCGCCGAACGCTCATTCTCCGCCTAAAGGTAGCGCTAGAGGTCACAACCAGATGCCAAAGTTTCAGCCCGATCCGATAACTTAATCAAAAGTTATAAGCGATTTTCTGAAAATTTCAATGGGAAAATGGAGCCCATTTTTGCTCGTTTTCGGTTTCTGGTGCCATAGAGCCCCATGTGTTCGAAAACTCCGTCGGCCGCCATTTTCCCATTGAAATTTTTAGAAAATCACTTAAAACTTTTGATTAAGTTATCGGATCGGGCTGAAACTTTGGCATCTGGTTGTGACCTCTAGCGCTACCTTTGGGTGGAGAATGAGCGTTCGGCGATGCCTAGTTTATTTTTGCGGTAAAAAAGACCGTGTAAATTTTCTTTTGTGACACCCTGTAGTACTACGTGCCGTGCGTGATCTTCTACGTACTGTTGCAGCCGACCACGCAGCAATTGTTGTGGCTTTCTTGGTGCGGAATAGCCATCTCAGAAATTACAGCACTAACCCACTTCAACGCACAACCAACGCAGTGACTGGCAGAAGCTCCCCGATGCAATGGACCCGTTTGCCGCTAGGGGCGCCCTGGTCGGGGCTTGAATTAGATGCGCACGATTCCTATAAGTAAATACCAAGCGCCGTTCAGAACACGCCGAACGTTTCCTGTGTCTTCCAACTTTCTCCGTAGAATTAAATGGACATAGACAGCGGCGTGTCAGGATCCGCCATCGTTTGCATTCGCCATTGTCTGTTTTTATCTGTTACTACTGCTAGACACAACCATGAAAGCAGCTCTCTAGCGTCCCATTACACGAGAGGCACGGTGCAGTACAAGCATTGGTCAGCATCCGTCGATGTGTGCTAAAACGCAGCTAGGACTAAAAAATGTAAACAAAATGTATACAGTAATCTTTTATTATAAAAAAATCTCTTTTATTGAAGTTCAACATGGTCCCAGCTGAAATGCACACATTTTAACCGGATTATTTGAAGTGTGTCAGCGGCCGACCACGCTTATTTCAAAGGCCGCAGTGCCGAAAGCATGCAAGCGTATAGAGAGGCGCACGGAGACCCTTGCATTCTTTCCCCCTCCTCCACCGAGGCAAACGGCAAACTGGGAAAATGGAGTAAACGGTTGATGGAGGGCAGAGCACACAGAGCTGGCACAGCGCCGCTTCCGATACTGATGTGCCGATGCGGGCAGGGAGCAGCGTCAACGTTTTGACGCTACTCACAGCACCCACGTCCGACGCTGCCCAACTCCTGTCGTAATCGAGACAAAGGTGCGGTGGAGCCCTGGAGCGCGTCTCTGACTGGTGTGTTTAGCGTCCTGTCCCGCTCACACATCAGAAGTGGTCCTGAATTCGCAACACTGACGTCACAGAAGCCGGAGTGTCATGCTGTTGCATGTTGCGATCATGGTAGTTGGTCGTAGAAATGCTGCCGAAAAGCACGAGGGAATGCGGGTGTTGCTGTCATCGTGGCGTCTGAACTTCTGGCTGCGGAAACTTCCGGGGACTGCCAGACTGGAGCGTGATTTGCAGCAGAACAGGCGTCTGCCACATTCGTCACCGCTGCCAGGACACCGCCAGGATCGCGACGTCACCAGGCGGAAATCGAGGGACCACTTTTGTGGACGCGGTAAACACACCAGTTGTGGAGACGCGTTCTAGGCACCATACTTTGGAAGCCCCAACACGTGCGCCTGCGGCGTACCACACGCACACGTGCATCGTATGAGAGATTGGGAGTGTTTACCAAAAGTCGCTTAGATCTGCGAGTCCAAAATCGTTGAAGAATTTGAAATTTTGGCATCGGCTGTGTGACGCTGTCCACCGTTTTGCGGAACAAGCGAGGCATATTGGACAGGTTCGAGAAGTTTCTCATGCAGGAGAAAGCGCGCCCACAACCCGAAGATGAAAGATTGCCAACTGCTTCGCACATGTCAGACTTTCTCTCGCGAGCATGCTTGCGGAGCCAGCGCACGATTTCCATAGCTGCAACAATCTCTACTGGAGTGTGTGAAAACATGTTGGCAAAGCCACCGAGGAAATCTTTGATTCGTTCGCGCTTGTCGATGCGGGCGTTCCCAATGTTGCTTCTGCCACGGACGCTGCAATTGTAGACCTTTCCTGCGACCGGGGTAAACACGGAGCGACATTGGAGGGGCACCTCGGGAAACGCCGACAACTGGGGAGACGTGAAACATCCTACGGCTGCTTCGAAACAAAGTGGAGTGCAGCGGCAGTGACAGTGCTGCAGCAATGCTTGGAGCAGTTTGAGGAGAACCAATGCCCGGATAAAATTCTCGGCAAACTCCAGTTAATTATTTTTTTACTCGGTGAAGCTGCCGTGAGATGTTATAACCAAGGTTTGTTTGATTAAATATACATTCAGAGTGTTCCGCAGTGTTCCTGTCCACCTTCGAGGCTGTTGGCACTGTTTTTTTGGCTCTATTGCTTTTATCGAATTACCGCTTATATCGAATTTTGTCGCCATCCCGTCGACTTCGTTATAACGAGGAATTACTGTATGTAACTTCTACTGCTTTTCTTTGTCATTTTAGATGGCATTCGCGAGCTAGGTGGATGATCGTCATGATGCACAATTAAAGTGCGACCTAAAAATATTCGCTTTGGCAGGCTAGGTGCGCTGCAAAACATAGGCTACGGGCCTTCCGAAGTGAAATGAAGGGAATGTACATGGACAAACTTGATGTGAGACAAACACCCGATTGCCTTCAGCCAAATGCCTCGCAAATTCTACCTGTCTAGGTTACCTCTCAGTACTGAAATCATGTTCGAAATCACGACAGTTGCACAGAGCAGCAGGCCCACTTTTACGGGAACGGACACCTTTATTCAGCATCGACACGTGCAAGGAAACAAATCAGTTCAGGTCAAGCAACGTAGTTGAAGTAGGAAGCTAGACTTATGCCACTTCTGCTATGAAAGCAACCAGCCGCAGAGCATCTCTGAAGGCGTGTACTTGCAACAGTTGTTCGCTGCAAACTTGGTCGATTGAGAAAAGTCTTCCTCTAAACGCCTCGATGGACACGAAAGTCTCACCAACAAAAAATAAATAAGCTCAAAGAGCCGCGCTCCTTGAGCACGCTGCAAACACCAGCAGCTAAGTTTGTTATCGTTTGGAACCAAAGTGGAAAAGGCAATCTCTGGATATTTTTCATAGCAATAAAGATTTTCTCTAGATTATTTGTTTCAGTAAAAACGTATGTCCAACAAAGCTATTATGGCATGAAGAAACAATTGTACAAGCAACATTTCACACGTCAATCATCTTTCCAGCCAATGAGAAGTGTAAGCCCTAGACGGGGCTTACTGGGATGTGACCTTCACCTTCTTTACCTAAATTGCACCGGCTCTGAAAGAGATTTGATCTTCCTCTTTTATCTTTTTATCCAGGTAATGTCACGTTCCCAAACTTTCGCATTCTATCCCGACCGCTAGCGTCACCTTCTCACGGTGGTCTCATCTTTCTGCGACGCATAGTTTATTCACGCGGGCCAAAAAACGCGGTTTTCTTTTCTTGAAGACGCCCAATATTTTACTGTTTGCTTGGACCTCAAATTTAGTATTCTTGCGGCACTATGCTCACGACTGGGCGTAACTGTGTTTGTGGACAGCGTCTTTACACCGACTTGAATGCAAGCGGCCGGTGATTACGCAGGCAGTGGCTCGAGATCCAGAAGCTCCGCAACAAGGTGAAGCGGAAAGTGGACACCAAGGCCAGCAAGGGAAGGAAGATCCGGTGAGTGGGTGGCCAAGTTGGACTGCAGACACAAAACAAAGCCTCGTATTTTCCGGCTTTTTAAGTCACCGTTATTTGCGCAAATTCCTGCGGGTGTGTCTAAAGGGCCGTCCGAACAGGACGCAGCAGGTGCCATGCACAGCATTTGCTGCACCAGAAGTGGAGATTTTTCTCTGGTTGCAGTCCGCTTTCGGACGTTTTTCTTTTTTTCACCGTGAGGAAAGCCCGTTTGCGTCCTTGGACAGAGGCTCTCGGCGTACTCAGCGCATGGGAGCAGACGGTTCTCCGTCCACTCGGCTGGATGTCGAGGTCTCCGCCATTGTGTCAGTCCCCAATCTCCCGAAAAGAAAAAAGGGAAGGAGATGACGGCAAGGAGGAAAGCCGTGCTGCTCGCGTGGTTGATGTCCTCACTGAAAACATACGTGTTTGCTGGAACTTTTGCGCTTTTCAAGAAGCGCGTGCATTCTTTTATACCGTCATTGGCATCTGCTGTGTCCTCTTGGGACAGCCCTTCATACAACGGTGTGACTTAGGGGCATTTTCTTGCTAAGTAAGGACCTTAACTGTACGAATTGGCCTGGGGGCTATAGTATTTCTCGTTCGATGCATTGGCAAGAATATTGGAACTGGCTCCAGCTTGCAGCTGTGTATTAACCACAATGCAAATATGCGTGCTTATCGATCGATGCAGTCTTGCCATGCCGATTGCACGAAGAAGGGCAACTTTTACCAAGATGTGACTTGTACACCAACATTTTCGTGAAAACTACCGTTTACTGGGAAATGCGACTTGCACGGTAGTACAGCTCGTGCGCCAGCTCGACTCTCCTACGTCGTGCTGCGGTGGCGACACTTCGGGGGCAGTTCCGGTGTAAGGGGTGGGCCAAAAATGCCGTGCGGGCTGGGCATTTTTATGTCATTCTGATACAAACCTGCCTTTTCGCCAAAATTCCGCAATTGGGGCTGCACCGAAAGAATTGGGAAAGGTGTCAAAATCAGTGTTTGGTGTGTTTTCTGCCCGCCCCATCCATCTAAGAATCCGGATAGCCGCCACAAAAAGAGAAAACTAGGTGGCATTGGACCACGAAAGCTTGTGTGGGAGGAACTTTGGGGTGAATTCACGGAGTCTCGTTGTCGTGAGATTTATTTGTATTGTTCTAACGTGAACGCAGGGAAACCATAGAGTAGTTTGAACCACATGGGCCGCGTTCTATGCATGTTCACATTCAAGCGACAAGGGCCCGTAGTCCGCGTCAAGGGCATACGCGCCGTCGACACAATGATTCAATGATTTCATTGCAAAGTAATTATAGATTTTTAAAGATGCATAAACTTGAAGGGTGCCTGAGGTAAGTCGGCTCAAGGTAACCATTAAATACAAGGTGATGTCGATCATTGTAACCCTTGGCGAATGCCGACCTGTTGTGCCCGACTCATGCAGTCCGACCTTGCTTGTGATTTTCAGTTTGCACGTTAAAGACAGCTTCCGTCTACGCTTCTTTCATACCCTGAGTGACATTGCAACTGGAAATGGCGAGTGAAATTTTGTCGTGCGAATTGGGGTTTAGCGTCCCCCGGTGTAATGAATTTTGTCTCTTTCGCCGTTGCTTCTACAGTGGTCGGACAATGCTAGGAAGGCGTAGAATGAAGAATGTCAGTGCAAAAAACAGCACGGCGATTCGCAGCAACGCCTACAACATTTCAGCCCAACCATTTGTTGAGGAGGGACACTGCACTTTTTGCCCACACCGCATTGGGCGTGCATGCTGCTAGGAGCATGCCAGTTTGTCTGCAACCTTGGTTTGGTGTATGGCTGAGAAATACAGTAGATCTCTTAATTTGCGACTGGAGCTTTGCGGTCGTATGAAAAAAAATAAAGCCACGACACACATCCAGAAGTGCCTGATTCAATGCTTTCCACGCATATAGAAAAGTCGCTGCTTGTCATTAAATACCTTTAAAAATTTGTACCCTGACAAGGGACGTGGGTTGTACCCATTAACAAAAATAAGTAACGAAATAACTTTACTCGTTAGTTTGTGAAGAATTAATGCATTACTGAGATTCGTTACTATCTTCAGAGTCTAACGAAATTCCATTATCATTACTTCCAAAAATTAACACCTTTGTGTTCTTTCAGACTTCAGTATTATTTGGCATTGATACGTTACGCAGCGAGCATACTTTTACAGAGTAATTTTATTGAGTTTATTATAGCTTTTAACCAAATTTGCAAAATATACTTTTTAAGATTCTGATTGAATCGACCTTGCTTTCTCAGTGAAGGGTATCAAAATTACGCTGCAGAAAGGAAACTTACTTTGCCTTTCCAGTGGAGTTTACCAAATGTGAAAAACTTTTCTTTCAAGCTAAGACAGAAAAAAAAATATTAATCAGAAGTGAAGCGTATGGTAATTTGATGAACAATAACATAAAATAGTACCAAAAGTACTTTACTCGTTAGCCGCTAGGAATGTAATGAGTATGTTAGTGGTTTACTGAAAAAACCAACGCATTACCAGTAATGTCAATCTTCCAACGTCACGAAGAACTTTCTTTTCGCATAGAATATGCTTTTGGCGAGGTGTAAGCGTAAGATGCGAAAGCCAGATGCAAAAGCGTTAAAACCCAGCGACCAACACGAAGTGTCGCCGCCACTGCAGGGAATTTCTCGTGGGTGTTGCCTCACTCCCATTGGCTAGTGTAAACAATCGTACGACCATAGTGACGAACAGCGGGGTTCTTAACGAAAGTCGTGGTACGAGTCTCGGTGTGTAAACGATTGCACCGAGATTTACCTTCCCTTAAACGTATGTCATACATGGCAATCTTGTCAGGTATAGCTAAAGTACTGTCGCAAATCTTTCGCACACTATCGTGTATAAAGTGCACGTAATTGATCAGAATTTATGGTACAGTATACAGAGGGAGCTCGTAACAACAAACTGTCAACTCAAACAAGTTTTTTTCTTTTTTCTTTTTAGGGTTTGAAGGCATTACAAAGAGGGGCGGGGCACTATAAAATACATGTTAAAAGTAAAAACATTTAAAAGACGAAAAATACAAAATTAGTACAAAACATCATTTAAGAAACTGAATTGCAGGTTTTAGTTGAGCTAGTTGGTACATACTGTTGGCAATCGGGTCAGCCAAACACGGCAAAACAAGGACACGAAGGAAGGGACTGGGCAAACACACCGCTGACTAACAGCTGACTTTTACTTTATCCTCTTCCCAGCCTAGACCCTTTCTTCTTCGTCCTACGGAACATTAAACACAATTAAAACAACATTTTGGCCTACCACTCAACGGGGTATTTGCAGTTGGCCACACCCCGTTGGCCTACCACTCAACGACAGTGTTTGCGGTTTGCCACACCTATGTTGGGCAACCCAACCTGCCTCTGCCTGTCAGAATGCATTGGCATTGTGCCATTGTATTCATCTTCGTTGCCTTTTATGGCCCGCGCTAACGTATGCTCAAACAAGAATGAGCAAAAAAGACAAAATACGTGCAAATTGATAGGTGCCGAATATGTTGGTCGATCGAAGCTTTGCCCTTTGAAAATGACGACAGCGGGAAGCAAAGCCAGAAAAGGGGGTGCACTCATGCACAGAAGCTTGTCGGAAAAAGGTCCATTGCAGTTCTTAAATGGACTGTGTTAGTAATTGTGACTGTACAGCTGTGGGGAGGCAATTCCAATCAATGGAGGTTCGGGGCAAGGGCATTAAAAGTAGATGAGCTGCAATGGAGGATCCTGACTTCTAGTTGATGATTTGTGCTTGACGATATGCAAGATAGTTCTTGATGTAGCGCTTAAGCAAGTGTTAGGTTAAGGCCGATTTGCACACTCGCGGCTGCTTAGGACCTTGTGCCTTGAAACCACTCAAAATCTCGTAGGACGACCTGGCTCTTTCGGGTAGTCGTGAAACAGTTTCATTTTCCGTATATTTCCTATTTTTGTCGCACAACGTTCTTTCTTTCTGGGCTCGAAAAATTTTTGACAGTATTATAAATCATCATTTCTCCTAGACAGTATGTATATTGGATACTGCAAGTACCGCAAAACCTTCGCTCTAGTGAAATGCAGTTCCAGGGTCGCCTCATGGATGGTGCCAGCGTGTACTCTCATTGTGGGAGATTGCGAGAGTTCGGTCCTAAGCAAACGTAAGTGTGTGAACGGGCCTTGACAGTGATAAATCTTGCGAAACAAACATAGCCGAGATATTTTTTAATCATTAACACAGTGCAACCGTCGTCTGCTATTGCAGCTACGACGTCATTCCGAAGCTCGTCAACTACATGGCTCCCGTGGACTTGTCGACCTACTCGGAAGAGGCCAAGTGAGTTCTTAGCGACGCAGACATTCTTTTGAGTCCCTGGGTATGAGGTGCAATAAATATGGAGCCCTCTTTTCTTTGCAGGGACAAGCTCGCTTTAAGGTTCTCCGCTATATCAAATTGAGCTTGACCAAAGTATTGCATATTAGTACTGTACAGCGTGTCCCCAGGAAAAAAAATTCTCGGCTTTTTTTTTTGTTTCAAAAATTAACTGTGCATTGTCAAACTCTCTGTCTTTGTCCAAATGTAACTCTAGCAGTCCGGACCACATGCCAAAGTTTCAGAGCTAACCATTATTGTCTTATTCAAAAGTCGGAAGAGTCTTTCTGAAACTTTCAATGGAAGAACATGTCCCGCTCTATGTACTTTGTGCCACTCGGCCCCATGTATTCGCTGCCTTTGTCAGCCACCATTTTCCCCATAAAAAATTTCAGAAAATCGCTCGTAACTGTTAAATAAGGTAACTGTTAGTTCTGAACCCTTGACATCTGGACCGGTCTGCTAGCACTACTTTTGGGCGGAGGATAAATTTGGACAATAGTGAGTTCTTTTTTGCCTTTAAAAACAGAAAGCACTCAATTTTTTTAGGGAACAGCCTTATAACTGTGTAAAAGGCATAAGAATCTGTGCGAGGTATCGAGCTCACTTCCCCCTCCCTGAGCAACCCTTTGCATCTGCTTCACACTCACTCTTCATGTAGAGTGTGTCTCCCTTTTAAAAGAAATTGACAGTTTTTTTCACTGCAATTAATCTATGCATCTCCAAACACTTGTTCTTCGCCGGCCCTAACGGTCTGAACCAGGCGCCACAGTTTCTAAACTAACAGTTACCTTATTCAAAACATAGAAATGTTTTTCTGAAAATTTCAGGGGGAAAATGGGGCCCATTTTCCCGCTTACGGTAAGTGGTGCCGTAAAGCTCCATGCATTGGAGAGCTGTATTGGCTGCCATTTTCCCATGGAAAATTTAAGAAAATCGCTTTTTTAAATAAAATAATGGTTAGTGCTGAAACTTTGGCATCCGGTTCGGATTGCTAGCCCTCTTGGGCAGAGAATGAGCGTTTGGCAATGCGTAGTTTATTTTGGCGGGGAAAAAACAACCTGTAAATATCATTTTGGGACACCTCATAGAACATTTACCAGAAGTGAGCAATAAAGTGGGCTTTGTGTATTTTCTTGCCTGTCAATTTTTCCAGCCTCCAGTTTTTAGTGATATAAAACAAGTTGCTCGATTCTCAAGGATGGATCGGACTGAAACTACATATTTCGTGCACTCGGGGCAGTGGTGCCTTGAATGTTGACACATATTTAAACTTCGGACTTCTCTTTCTTTTTTTACCTACTTACTATTTATTACAAATTATCCGACCGTGATGATAAAGATAAGTCCCTTACAAGTGATTACCCTGATGTAATTGGAAGTGTTGACTTTACACTCAACATTATGTAATATTATGTAGTGTAGAAAATGATGCGACCCCGAGAGATTTCCGTAGCTTTTTTTTGCTTGATCGTGAAATGACAATTCGAGTTAATGAAAAGCACCTCTTGGGACTGAAAAAGACGTAATGCATATTGTTTTGCTGCAATGACGAGTTGCAAGTAAGAGGTCTAGGAGCAAGATGACTGTGCCCAAGGGAACAGTGGCAGGCATTTATTTCAATATATCGTACGCTCTCATTACGTCAAATTCGAAGGGACTATACTAGTTAATTCTACTTGAATTGAGAGAAGTTTGTACTATCGAAAGAACAATATAAATATTAAATAAACAAACTAATATATGGGGTGTTTTTTTTTGTTGTTTTTTTTGGCTATTCAACTTATTTATTATGACGGATTGCCTCCTATACTACAGTAATCCCTCGTTATAACGTTCAACTTCGATAAAGGCCATAATTCGAAAAAAGTGATTTCGTCATAGCGAGGGATTGCCGTATGTCCCGCTGGCTGTAGTACTCACCTGCACAGACCACATTCGTGTACCTATGACATCAGTCTGGAAATCCTAAGCAAAACACCCTGTACTAGTATGTACAGGGGCCGTTCATGGTTGACTGGGTGTTTTGCCAATAATAAATCGCTGAGCAAGTGTAGCACAATGAAACTTGGAGAGGACGTTAATGTAATGCGTCTTTAATATCCCGTGCCCGTAACGAGGCATGCACAGCAGTTCCAGCTGTCATGGCGGCGAGCATTGTGTATACCCATGGAGTACTGGTGTGTAATCACATTTGTGGTGAAGAAGAAAGTTAAATCAGCTAAGATTTTTAGAAGATTGCAAGGGCAGTATGGGAAACAATTGATGTTACGGACAGGATTGTACAAATAGTGTCTGCGGTTTGGCGAAGGGCCCCAGTCATTGCAGGTGAACTGCAGTTGTTGAGCAGAGTTCTTTCTATGCCAAAGGAATTGCGAAGTCACCAAAATTATAGCTGCAGTGCCTGGATACATACGAATAATTATTTGAAAAGACTACATGATGTTGTGCTTGTCGCATTTTCTATTTGCTCCGCAGGAATTAAAGTCCCGGTCAACCTTGAACTACTCTAGTCCATGTCTAAATTCCGTCTCGAGACTCAACATACCCTTCGTCTAGTGGCTTGTGCCTCAGCACGGTAGAATGAAAGATGAAATCCTACGGTTAGGAATGCGACCATGATGGAAGCAGCTATCTGAACTGTCTGGGATTCACTGGGTCCAGCATTCTCACTAATTATTACACGCGAATTCCGCCGCCAGTTAATACATTCAAAGGCCAATTCTCGTCGCTTTGAAAACCCTATCAGCAGCATAGAAGGATCATGAATTAGCCGAGGTGTGTGTAGAAGTTAAGCAGTTTAGAACTTTATTGAAATAATGACCAGCCAACTAAGTAATTAGGATTTGTTTAAATCAGCCGAAAGTATAAATTATCCGTGTTTCACTTTGCGCGACTGTGTTGTACATATCTGTTTGCACTATCTGATGTTTTGCTCCCGTGTGGTCCTCCTAATTTGTTCACAACTTTCTCTCGCAGGACGGAGTTGTTTGGGAGCCTGTTCGGACAGAAGAAGTATGCCAGATAGAACCTTCCAATAAAACGGGTTTTAATGAAGCTGCATTACTTTCCATTTTGAATAGATACTATAAGTGTTTCCTGACTGGCTCTCTCATCCCATTAGGGATCTTTATTGCAATTACTGAATGTGTGAGTTTGATTCAACAAGCCTTGCAACAGAATTTCTGCTGTTGTTTTTTTTTTTATTGTTTTTGCTGGCATTAGCTTTTGATGCACATTACTCAATGAGCCCACTGTAAGCCACAAAATCTGCGCTTATCGTAATTCATTATGAGTGATATTGCGGGCATTAAATGGGAAAGTAATGTGAACGGGAATTGTCGTAGAACAACGCAGCAGGGTGAGAAGAAGCGCTTATTCTTGTCGGCATACTCTTTCCTGGACTGGTTAGCCTCTTCCAGACTTGTACCTAACGCCTTACAGGTAATGGATTACTTGTAATCGATTACATTTTTCTGTAATTTTGTAACGCTTCAATTACTTTCTTTAAGGAGTAAGGACCCTTGTAATTGAATTACTTTTGCTGTAATCGATTACAAAATTACCCATTACAATTTTTCTCTTTTTTTTTTTTTGTCGTTTTTTGTTTGTTGTTGGGGTCATTCAGCTCTGGGCAAAAGGAAATTTTTCCTTTCCAACCACTAAGTACGGGACCTAGTGGATTAGCAGGCTACTTTACTATGCTTCGTTTCCTGGGTACTTTTTTTTTTTTGGTACATTGGAGTCTACGTTTGGGGATGAAAAATGACCTTATCCAGCCTCTTGTGAGTAATGTATTTAAACAGCGCTCTTTTTATTTATTTATTTCTCACAAGAGGGGTTGGGTGTGTTGGCATCACTCACTCAGCTCTAAGCAAAAACGGTTAAGGCTTTCTTTTTTTTTTTTCGGAACAACTGAGCGCGAGATTCCAAGGATTATGCTACCGTAATAAAAATAAGTTGAATGAAAAGTAATGTGGGGAGTAATCGATTACTGCAGAGTAATTTTTCGATTACTTTTTTGAGGCTGTAATTGTAATCGGTTACTTTTTACAGTGAAGTAATTGGAATTTTAATTGGTTACTTTTTGTCAGTAATGTGTGCAAGTCTGGCCTCTTCTCTCTCCCTTTTTAGCTATGCTCGACAGTTTATTTCTTCTTAATGTTCCTGCTATCGGTTCATCGACACACCTTCCAACATCTCGTCAAAAGCGTCTTTCTGCACCTATCGTCTCGGATTGGCCTCAGCCGCTGGAATCCGGGTGGAGCCGAGCTTGCCGAACCCTCGGTGGTTCCGACGATGCCTAGTGCAAGCTTGGGCCTGTGATTATATGAAAGAGGGCTGTCCGTGCATAGTGCGGACCATTTAGAAACCTAGGATTAGCACTCACAAATTCATTTTTGACTTATCGGAGATGCCAAATGAGTTTCCTTTAGTTCCGGTATGCTTCCAGTGAACGAATGAAGCCAGCAATCCAATCCAATTCACCCCGTAAAAAAATATTTCATCGACGAAAAGTTGCAGTTGCTCGCGTCCACGAAATGAGTTTAAAGGAAACATCCGACTGTCCCAGTGTCAACGAAATGTGCATTCGTGGAAAGTTTTCCACAAGACATGTTTCCATGACATGTGTTTCAGCAAAGCTACTAGATTTTTTTTTTCTCGCAGCATTATTGTTGATGTTACATTATAGTGTACTAGAATACGGGGTAGTGTTGGAACCGGAGCTGCCCGTGTGGGGCGTGTGGTGTAGATTACGATAGGTGTCGATACCGGCCACGGTGACACCGGCGCATAGGCAGTAGGGCCAGTATTGTGGTAGTTGTGCGCGTGCACGCGCACGTGCGGACTGCAGCGCTGCGATTGTTGTCTACACGCGCAGCCTCACATGCTTCCATTGCCGAGCTGCGCCGGTTCAAATACTACCCAGTATTCTAGTACACTGTAGTTACATAGCTGCCGTGCGGCTGATGATATGAAGATAGTTTCGGTTTTACCGTAGACGCCCAAAACCAAACTTTGCACGAATATATATATATATATATATATATATATATATATATATATATATATATATTATACCCGTCGTAATTTAGAGGCACTGACTGAGCTGAAAGCAGTCGTAATCGGAAATTCGAAAATATATTGACTCGAGTGCAATCTACCTTCAGTACTTCCCGACACTGGGTTCATTACTATATTTCAAAGCTATTTATAAATTAAATTGCCTTCTGAATTAGCGCTAGTGCGCACACAGGCGTACGCCTGTGTGCGCTGGTTACTGCAGGCATGATGGAGACAACATGGTGACACTACAGTGTAGCGACGCCCATAGAGTTATTGCGACGCCCAAGCTACGAAGCAAGTGAGGAAAACGAGCCAACCAAGGCGAGGAGAGTAGAGCAGTGTAGAGAGGGACGAAAGAAAACAGAAATTAACTGATATCAATAAAAGCGGTTTTATAAAGCATTAGACATTCAAGCTCTGCAATTCTGGAACGTTTTTTGTCACGGTAGCTATACAGGGTGTTTTTTTTTTTGTTTTTTTTTAGCTGCGCCAAACTTTCAAAAAAGGGAACGTGAGATAGAGTAATTTAAGCCCTGGGGAAGTGTTAATGGCCATGGCGGCTTCTAGAAAAAAAGTTAAAATTAGCTAATTAGCTCATTAACTAAAATGTTTAACTAACTTTTTAATTTTTCACTTGAGAGCACATAATATATTTAGAGAATTGAAGCTCGACCTCAAGATGGTCTAGCCGTGCCATCAAAGTTTGAATAAAACATTTGTAGTAGGTGCTACGGGGTCAAGAAATTTCACTTTGGTACGCGGCGTCAAACCGAAACTAAGCGAGAAAGAGCGCCGGTAAAGTTTTCGCTCCGCTCCTGTTATCTTCTGCACTCGGTGCATTTGGCGAGTTCGTTTGAGTCCAGTTTTCCGTGCAACACTCTGCGAGTGCGATGAATTCTGGAAGAGAACTCGAACGGTGCCAGTACGTGTGAAAGAAACAACAAAAACACCCTGTATTTTGGAGTTTCCGGTTGTTTATAGTTTGCCATCAATACCGACAGGTGGCGTCAGAAACAGATTAGCAGACCGCGCGATTTCTTGGCGTGATTGACGACGAATTTGCGTAAGTTTATTTCACATGGTGATTTATATAAAAATTTAAATTGCATGATCAAGAAAGGCATATACAGGCTCTTACACGTCCGTAGTCATCACCGCGGCTTAGTGGCAGCGTCGCTGAAGCGTGCCAACAAGGATCACTTCGAAACTCAAACCAGGTAACTTTTTGAACCCTTACTTTGGGGAGTTAGTGAGGTACGTATGCCGAGACTTCATGCTTATATGAGAAAACTAGTCTAATAGGCGCGTCGGGCATGCAGGTGAGCTGGAAGGGCTGCAAAAGTCACGTTACAAGAGTTGTCCAGTGATATGTCGGATGGCACTTCGAAGTTTGTCGGGTTTGTTCTTCGGCTTTGCTTGTCCGAGGGGCGTAGCATACACTGCGCGTCATTAGAGAGTTTTTAGTAGATCGTCCCGATGACTTCGATAACGATACCCTGCCGCCGCCTTTGCGCTGGCATCGTGTCGCGATCGGGGGTATCGGAAGGATCGTAACGATCTACTAAAACTCTCTACTGTTTGTCTAATGTTACTTTGAACTTGCCCTACGTAAGCACTTCCCGCCCTGGGGCAATCAGTTCGCCGAACGACGTTTCATCGACAAATCGTTTTGTCGACACTGCGATGTTTTATCGATGCACACCTTGCAACGTTTCGTCGAAAGCGTCTTTCCGCGCATATCGCATTGGTTACCGGCATCCGGATGTAAGCACTTCCCGCCCTGGGGCAATCAGTTCGCCGAACGACGTTTCATCGACAGATCGTTTTGTCGCCGCTGCGACGTTTCATCGATGCACACCTTGCAACGTTTCGTCGAAAGCGTCTTTCCGGGCATATCGCCTCGGTAACCGGCATCCGGATGACAGCCTAGCTTGTCGAACTCTTGGCGGTTCCGCTGAGGTCTGCTGCAAGCACGGGCCTGAGAATATATTAAATCTTCCCCAAGCAGAGCGAGGGGTGTCCGCGCGTAGCGCAGACTGTATGGAAGCTCGGGAATTCGTTTTGGCACTATCGGGCACCCGCGGAGCGCGGGCGAAAAGGCGAAAAGTGGTCGCAGCGCCCCTGGCGAGCTCGGAGTCTCCGCTAGCAGACGAATTCTCCAGAGCGCACTGGCTTTGCATATCTCCGCGTAATGTGACCAATGAAAAAAAAAAAAAAAAAAAAAAAAAAAAAAAAAAGTCTAGCGGGTATTTGCTGTTTTGAATATTAAAAAGAGGTGCCGCCTCATGAGAGAAGGACATTTCCTTTGCGTGGGAAATATGTTATAGCTTTCAGGGTGCAATTTTGGGGCTCTCCTGAAGCACTGTCAAAACCTTCGCGCGATCTTTTTTTTCTTAAGGACAATGCAAAAGGTTTAGAGCATAGCTTCGTTTCAACTTTACTGTTCTTTTCTTCTTCATTATCTGTTAAAAATAATAAACGGAGATGCTAGTCATTCTAAGGCGTGACCGGCTACTCCATTACTGTTCTTAATAGAGTAGCCGGTCACGCCTTAGAATGACTAACATCTCCATTTATTATTGTTCTTATCAATCAATTACTTTTGGCGAGCTGGCTAATTCGTTAAGATCGTCTCCAGACGAAGAAGCAGAGAGCAATTTCGAACCATGTACGTTACTGCGAGGTCAGTATGCTCTGGAACAAGTCGATTGTGCACATGTAAATCTGACGCTCTTTCTAAAATTAATACAAACAAACAAAAAAAAAAAACAGACTTTTTGCGCATGCAAAAGAAAAGAGGAGAGCGCCGTGGCGCAAATATATGTAATTTCAAATTCCAAACGTTACAGCCTGGACGACTAACGTCTTCTGCGTCTTCTACGATAAAGGCCGGCACCCGTTTAACCGTCTTTGAACTCCTTCCATTTTTCAAAGTCTACTTTTTTTTTTTTATGTTTGATGCGTCGCTACGCCGCCGCGTTCTTTCTTCCTCCTTTTATGTTGTTGTTCTTTTTGTGTGTTTTTTCTCTCTCTTTTGTTTACTTGACGTTGGAACATCGTGTATATTGATTTGCCTTGTTTGACTTAGTTCTTGCTCTCTTTCCTCCGCTTCGGCACTACCGCCGGTTCATCTGCTACGCTGTGCCCGGATATTTTGAGGGTCGTCTGCAACTTTGGTGTTGCTGTTGTTGTTTTCTTCCACCCTCGATTGAGTTTCTAATCTGAAATCTTCATATGTGCGTTTTGATATTTATTGAATATATTAAAAAGTGTAGGCTAGTTCTACATTTCTATTTTGATTTTATTTGAACACGCGGCACGTCTGCTATGGTCATCGTTGGTTGTTCAAACGGCCGCCTTCGGGCATACACCAGAGCACATTTGGAGATGGCAGGCATGCCATGTGCTGCCTACCACTGCAAAAACAAGTTTTTGCGGTGTGGTGAAAAATCCTTCTTTCGCTTCCCGAAGACCGAACAAACGCGAGTAATTAAGTTACTACAGCATTCAAATTAAACCGGAAAGCAGGGATGGGCAAAATCCATGCAAATATGTATCGAAATACAAATACAAAATACTTCGTCAAAAATGTAATTAATTACAAATCTAATTACATTCCCAAAAAAAGCATTTAAGTACAAGATACAAATACAACCAAATGTATTTGGTCTCCTCCAAATACTTTTCCAAATACATTCCTCAAAATTTGCGTCAGCGACTTCAGGGCATCTGCAACGGGTTTCTGGGTATCTCATTTTAATTTTGCATCGCACACTCGGGAGTTAGTATGCGGGGCTCTAGTAACGTAATAGAAATATAATCACAAAAAAAAAATGTAATCAGCTTGTACGTAATAGGTGAAAAAAGTACAGCTCGAGCTTCAAGTATACCTTTTTTGTCGATTACATTTTGGTATAAACCAACAAAGAACCAAGACGACCAAGACGCGCAGTACTAACTAGAGAGTGTTTTATTCTTTCAACTCGCACCAGTTACGAAAATCTGGACGACCCGCGCATTTAGAATGTTCCAGGCAAAAATATGGATGGAAATCAGGCTGGAAAGCATCACAAGTTGTCACAGACACTTATTTAGCCAGTCTGCCTGTGAACGTACATTTCGTCACTATTCTTGCCCTGGACTAGCGCCGTAATCACAAAGTCACTAAACGCTTGTGCTTGATTGAGAGACTGCATTCGGTGCAGGACGTAGTTTTCTTCCTGCTCTGGACAGTGACAATCAATTTGAGGGATGTATTTTCTCCCACAAAATTGTATTTAATTACAATTGTATTTAAAATATCCACGTTTTAGTATTTAAATACGCACGTCAAATACATTACCCAATTTGTAATTAAATACAAATGCAAAATACACAAAGTATTTGAAATACGTATTTCAAATACCTGTATTTGAAATACTGCCCATCCCTGCCAGAAAGCTATCCAAGTTTAGCTTCAAAATCGCCACTGACGCCTCAACAGACGATTATGACCAGCGATTTCCCTACACACCCCCCCCCCCCCCCCTTGGTTTTCTGAAGGTAGCCCCTTAATTTGCAACGACTTCTATTATCGATGCCCCCCCCCCCCTAAAATTTTAGACATCCCCCTAATTTCGATTCCGGGGGAAACCCCTGTTTATGACAACTCCACGGAGATCGCGGAGAACTTCACGAACTACAGACCAGATGCACAACTGGACACCCAGTCTTATGTATGATGACAGATCCAGTCAGATCGGTCATCATGCTTTTCAAGTCTAACTGCAATCAGAAACATGGAACACCTCAAAGGACATTTTTTTGAAGAACAAGAAATATTTGCAAGCGAAAATGACACCACCTTCCGACTTAGCTCGTCACCTAGTCGATAACATCAGCCGTGGATTCGACACACAGTTCACTGATATACAGGGTGTCTCAAATAGCGGCCAGGCTCTTGAAATTGACCGCAAAAATCGGTTTCTTAACTTATCGCGCTACGATTTTGTGAAGCGTTGCCCACAGCTGATGCATTCTTTCTATACTATTTTCAAAGAGCGAACTTACCTGAGGAAAAAGTAAAAAAAGAAAAAGGCTTAGCTCCTATGGAAACGCAGCGAAAGCCACCGGTCTTCAAACAATAGTGCGCCGTCTGGCACGGGAGACAAGAGATGGCGCAAGGGGTCGCGAAGCCAATTGCCGCTAACGAACGAGCATATATATATACGGCGCCGAGAGCCGGCGTCGATCTTTTCGAGTCAAAAGCGGCGCGCGTTCCGCAGGCGGCGACAGCCTCAGAACCAAAAACAGGCGCGGTAACAGCAAGGACCTGCAAAAGCAGACGGCATAAATACCCCGAAAAAAAAAACATATAAAAAAAACAGTCAAAATAACCCGACACAGCATTTTTTTCAATCCATTATGTGTGCATTCAATATGTTTTATTAGCAAGGATGATAAAATCATGTATTGGCCACTAACATCGAAAAAGCTTACGCCGCATTTCATTCGAAAATACCGTCTGCTATTTGACCCCGACTCTCGGCGCCGTATGCTCGTTCGTTGGCGGCAGTTGGCGTTTCGACCACTCGCGCCATCTCTTGTCTCCCGTGCCAAACGGAGCCCTATTGTTTGAAGACCGGTGGCTTCGCTGCGTTTCCATAGGAGTTAAGCCCTTACCTTTTTTACCTTTTCCTCAGGTAAGTTCACTTTTTTTAAATTATATAGAGAAAATGCACCATTTGTGGGCAACGCTGCAGAAAATCGTAGTGCGATAGGTTAAGAAACCGATTTTTGCGGTCGATTTATACTTTAAAGAGCCTGGCCGCTCCTCGAAACACCCCCTTATTGCAGCAGACAAGAGTTCAGCTGAAAACGAACTTGGGGCCGCTGATCGACACTCAAAATAAAGGCACGGTGTGCAAGGATTGCCTGGACATGTACGCCAACAAGTACTGGAATGTACTTTTGAACTGCTGCGCCAAGCGAGCAAACAAACAACCTGCCATAGTGACTGGAAAAAGAAATGGCAAAGCAAAAAAGGTCACACACTGCTAGTACGTAGCAGATTGCAGCGTGCGACTCTTATTTACCGGGCAGTGTGAGTTTGACTACGTTATTCGTTTCCTCCGTTTTGTTTTTATTTGCTACCAACGCCGCGAAAGCAAATAAACAAACGTTTGACAAAAAGTTTAAAAAAATGAAGCCTTTTTTCTTTTTCTTTTTTCTTTTTTTT